TTTTTTTTTCCTGACTTCCCGGTGTCACAGTTCTGGGAATTTTTGTTTCATCCTGACATGATGTACTTTCTAGTGATACTGAAAAGAACCCTACTTTTCCCTGACTTCCCACTATCAAAGTTCTCAACCTGTTGTTTTATCCTGCAATGATATACTTTCCAGTTAAAGAACAGGTGTCTCTCCCAAAAAGAATGTCACTTAATTTGAATTTTTTTTTTTTTAACATCTTCCAAATCTCTAAGATACCAGTATACAGTATTGTGCACGTCCCCAAAAGCTCTTCTTCTGCATGACTCTGCTGCCAATTAGAAGATGAAAGCTTGATTGTTGTAACCCTCTGTTTGATAGAGCACCGGGAGCGGGTCATCGTTGCTGCCCTGGAGAGGAGAAACTCTCTGTGGAGGAGATAATCATCGGGAAGAAAAGGTAGACCAAGCTTCAGGGACTTTTTTGTCTCCCCGCAAATGTGTCTGGTCTCCACAATGCTCACTAACTGTCGTACATCGTGCATAGTCTATGCAAGGTCCCAAAAAATGTTTCCTGTGTTAACCTTCCATTCACAACCTGTCTCTTAGCATGCACTCCTTTTGTTTGTTTTTTAGAACACTGCAACACGAGAACTTTTCAGTGGATTTTAATCTTTCTGTAATCTTTCCACATCCGAAGCTTTCTCATTGTACAGGTATACGTACCAGCTATATGTATATTTCCTGGACTGAATCTACTAAGCATGCACAGTGAAGGCAAAGAGCACCATCCCCCCCACAGCTCTATCCCCCACAGCTCTAATTGTATCCTTTACTTCCTGTCTTGTACAGATGAATTAAGCTTCACAATCGGATCTTTTGTTCAGTCCATCCCTATGATTCATCTGATCAAAAAATAAAACTGCCTGGTACATCCTGTGGAGGAAAAGTTGATTGGCTCCATATAGTCACATGCATAATAGGGGTCTATGTTTTGGGGGGCCATTCTGTTACGGTGTGGTTTTATTAATGTCATTGATCATTCACCCAGGAGGCTTCTGTCAGAGTGGAATGAGATTTCCTGCACACTAATGGAAGTGTTTGGCAAAGGTTTCTCAGAACACGTTTATTAAAGGAACCTTCTTATCTTATCACTATTTCATGAACATTTAAACAAGTGAATGTATGTTGGCAGAAGAATTATCCTGTGTGAAAGAGTTGTCTCCAAGGGATCAAAGTGCTGTGGGCCATTTTTTATCAGTCATCGTATAGAAGAGAAATCTTGTATCTATCCTTTCACTTAATTATTTCTGCAAAATTACAACTTGCTTAAGCCTTACATGTTTAAGATGGTTTTGTGATGTTATTACAAAGACGAGTAGTATCTGGTGAGTCAGTGTTAAATTTTCTGTTAAGTCACAAAATTGCCTTTTTTGGATTGGTGTTTCTGTGATAGGAAAAGCCAGCGCACCTTTAAGTATGCTTTTGAAAGATTCTAGGAACTGACCGAACTGTATGTACTTGCTTAAATAGTAATGAACATCATGTCAAATGCTCAACCAACAGGCACCCTGTCAGTAATAAAGGAATGAATATGTGTTTGGCCGGTTTTAAACTAACGTTTAAGACCAGCTCAGGAGAATGGATGCAACTAATGGCTGAGCCGCAGCATTATCAGCGTTCGTTCTCCTCAGCAGGGTCTTAAGACTGGCCAAGCACATATTTATTCCCATTCCAAAAAACCTTTTTATATAGAGAGTCAAAAGAAGTCAACATATGATGGATTTCCAAAGATATTGTTCTAAATTTTACTGTCATTTTCCCAAACACCCCCGTCCATTTTATGGTATATTCCTTTTGGAAGTTGTCCAATAGAATCTTCTTGCATGTGGACTTGGCGCGCACGTGGTGCATTCTGCGTGTTGCGCCACACGCAGACTCATGACCAATAGGGATGGAGTAAACTGTCTCATATCCAGGTACCAGTGCGTGTTTTACACAGCGGACATTATCAGATGTTAATTAATACCCGGTCAAGTTGCACGTTGTTGAATAGGGAGACTGTCTTAGGTATTTCTGAATGTTATATAATGTATATAGGACAAGCTGTGTCCATTCTGCTGTTGTTTACATGCTGCTATAATCTGGTTGAAATTTTTTTTTTTGGTCGCCTGTTCAGATTTGTTCATTTAGCAAGCTGAAAGAGTGGCAGGCAGTGGCGGTGTGCTTGATGAGGGAAACCTAGCCAACAAACACGATGCAAGTGGTAAACCAGTGGCTTGTGGTCTGCCTTTCTGTAGTCAAAGTACTGTATCAAGGATATTCAGAGAACTGCAGAACAACTTTATCAGAGACTCGGAGGTTAACACACTTTTTTTCCCCGGAATTTGAATTATGGGTGATTTATTTCTTGCGCACTTTTTGCAGGCTCAGTAAATTAGAACTTACATCCCCAAACAGTAACAGAGAGGTGGTAGTGGAATCCATCACAAGTGAAATCATATTCCAGTCGCAAGCCTGGTTGCCCGTAACAGGGAATGAGCAATGATAGAGGAATGCCAGTTTATCGTGATTCAATCGAATAGCTTGTGACTTGGTGACTTGACGTAGGAGTTTGTGTATCACTTGTGATGGAATTGTTACAACAGCGGATTCGCAGCATTTTAGAATTGTGAGATCTTGCACTTGTGTGCAATGTTTGTGTGGAATGTTTCCTAAATCTAGCCAATTGCTAATTAGCCTGTTAATTTTTGTTGGTTAAGTTCGCTGTTCTTAAAGCCCTGTCTACACTGGACTTTTTACAGCTTAATGAGATGGATACTATTCCCATTTTAGTTCCAGTCGGACATCCTGGGATGTTTCCCTCTTAGTTTCTTTTCCTAAGTCCAATGGTTACTGCTGCTGGGAAATTGTTACCTGGAAAACTCTTACCAGGTAACTTTTTCTGGGACCAGTAAGTCCAGTGCAGACAGTGTGAGTTAGTAAAAGTGGTGCTGAAAAGTGTACATCCGGCCTGAGCACAAGGTCATACTGCACAGGGACACTATACACATGTGCATGTATGCTTTGCGTATTGCCTCATGGTGCGACGCAAATGTGGCAATTTTCCAGGGGCTGTCCCTCTCTTGGTGGCAGCCATAGGAGATCTTATTATCAATACAGTCCAAAGTTTGATCGTTGTTACCAGTCCATCATTATCAGATAACAATGAAAGTTGTCCACGTCTTAGCACATGTTCAAAGAAAGAGTGAAGTTTATCTTGGGCAAATGTAGAAAGGTCTGACAAAGCGCCCTTGTGAGTCATAATACCAACACCTCTGTTACTTCTCCCTCGGTTATGATGAAATTAAAATATCCTGTCTCAAAAGACAAAATGTGGTCGGTGGTCACATGTGTCATCTTACCGTTGCAATCTTCCTTAGAAAAAGGTTCATTGCAGACATGGCTTTGAATTTCAGATTTATGTATTTTTTATTTTAATTTATGTCACTGGTTGAAATTGATTTTCCCCCTGGGTATTCTAAGCAGTCATTTAACCTGTTTTTTTTTATGTTCTCCCTCAGGTCGGAGCTTTGAAACTCAGAAGAGAAAGGATTTCAATCTTTGAAGTGGGAGGAACACTTTGGATAATGTACTCCAGGTAAATGCAGCACTACGGGAGTTTCTCAATGGTTCCAAAGGAACGGCCACCGAGCACCAAGTGAAAGGGGTCTACTGCTTTGGTTAGGCACGAAAACATTCAGACAGGAGTAAGCCAGATCGGCATTTCACTTGTGCATGCCCACGCCATAATTTGACATTTTGTGAACACTTGTCATCTAAATTGAAAAAAAACCAAACTTTGGGTCAGAAGAATAGGAATTTTTTTAAAATTTGGACCATGTTGTAGTTGAAGATATTATGTATGGGCTTCAATGTTTGTACAAAGGAAAGTTTCAATCTTTTTTAATTTCATGAAGCATCGCATAGTTAGTATGTATCTACGTGTAGTTACCCAATCCCAGTGAATATGTCCACGTATGTGCTTCTATTCAGAAGTAAAAACTGGCTGATTTAATGAGAGTTAAGGCAAAGGGGAAAAAGCCACTCAACAAACCTGACAAAGGCTTCAGTCTGGCAACCTGTTTTGCTTTTTACTCTCAAGTTCCATGGTTGTGTGCAAAAATTCTGGTTTATTAGTAGAGGAGATAAGGTTGAACAGCCTTTGTTCATAAGCAAAATAGGTTGGCAATCACCCACCCACTTACAGTTTTTTGCCCATGTAGTCAAATGGCAACTGTCAAACTGCATAGCCAAGTGCTGCAATTTTTTTTCAGTCCCTTGAGCTGTGCTTCAGCTGAACAGAACTCCAAGGAATGCAGAAACATGATGCATAGACTAGCCAAGGTTTTGACATCTGCCCATCCGGTGAAAATTTCTGAAGGGGAAAGGCCGGTATTTGGTGAATTCAAGAATGGTGCAGACCAAGCACTGGTCTGGAGCACTTTGGT